GAATCTCCAGGCCAGGCCACCACTCACCTAGCACTGTGAAGCAGCGCAGCACCTCCTTCTGGTTGCTCGTCACCAGGGGGCTGGAAGACTCCACAGGCACACAGATCTGCTCCAGGGGACATGGGACAGAGGTGACTGGGATGCGACTGCCACCCTGGGGCTCAGCTGGGCAGGAAGGCAGGCCACATGCTCCTGACAAAGCACTAGGCACACACACTGCTGAGGGTCCTGGGCTTCTACCCAAACCGGCTGCAGTCAGGCACAGGTTGTCGGCCTCACCTGCCAAAACAGGAGCTCGCCCTGAAATTGAGCAGGATGTGGGCAGGTGGGCCAGGGAGGCTGATGGGACCTCCAAGCACACAGATGGGATGTCTCAAGGGGAAGGAGTCTGCCTGCTTCAGTAGAGCCCATCTTGTGAACCAGAGAGGTTACTAATAATGCAGGGAAGCCCTGGACCCATAGGCCCTGCCCAGCCTGCGCTCAACCAGCTCTCAGAAATAGGGAAGCAGGTGGGGGCAGGCGCTGGCCCAGGGCTCTGCTCCAGGTTCCTATTGTAGAGACGGGACCTGGTCACAAAAGGCACCTCTCCTGCCTGTTCTCCTGTTGATCACTCACTCTGGGGGAACAGAGCCCTGTCCTGAGGATCCTCAAGAAGCCCTAAGGAGAGCCATGTAGCCAGGAAACACAGCCTCTGCCTATAGCCACGTGAGGGAGCCACCGTTGAAGCACAGCCTCCAGCCCAGGAGTGACTACAACCATGTGGGACCCAGCCAAAGTCACCTGCGAGCTGCTCCTGGGTGCCTGGCCACCGTGACTGTGAGATACATAGTTTCTGTTTAAGGTGCTAAGTTTTGTGGTCACTGGTTATAATAGTAACTAGTGCAAATGGGTAGTCATGTGGAAGAAAGGCAAACCTGGATTCTCAAGCCCTTTTCCCTAAAACAAATTCTGGTGGATTCAACAATACAAGTCCAGCGAAACGGGAGAATCTGACAAGAAAGTGAAGGATCGAAAAGGCTTTCTAAGTATAAGAAAACCTGACAAAAGATGATGCAAAAATTAAAGTACGTTGCATGGCAAAGAAATATAAACAGAGCCCAAAACTAAAGGACTTTTTTTGTCCTTTCCATGGGTCACTACTGGTGTAGAGAAATGCTGTTAATTTATATGGTTAGTTCTAACGTGTGTACTGACTTAGTTTGCACACTGGTGATTTCTGGTGACAGTCCTCATCCACACAAGAATTACTGAGTGCTTACAAGTGCCAGGTGCTACTCTAGGTGTGGGACACAGCTGTGAGAGAAACAGACAGAACAATCTCACACAGATGTCCCTCTAGTGCAGAGGTGGGGAAACCATTTGGTCTGGGTCTGCCAAGGCAACTGCAGGAGGGATTCAAAATTCAATAAATCTAGGTGCTTTTTTCATAGCTAATTTTTAAGTTGATAATTTTGTATGGCCTGCAAATGATGTCATAAATATCCAAATGGCCCTTGGCAGAAAAAAGGTTCCCCACCCCTGCTAGCAGGAGCAGCAACAAGCAGTCATTGATACAGTTTGAACCCTGAACAGGGGTGCCGACCCCTGAACAGTCAAAAATCCACACATTACTTCGACTCCCCAAAAACTTATTATTAATAGCCTACTGTGACAGGAGGCCTTATGAATACTATAAACAGCCGATGAACACATACTTTGTAAGTTACGTATATTATACACTATATCCTTACAATAAAGTGAACTAGAGAAAAAAAATCACAGTATTTATTGAAAAGAACTCATGTATAAGAGGACTTGGTGGTTCAAACTGTATTGTTCAGGGTTAGCTGTTAAAAGGAGGTCCATGCCAAGTGGAAAAACAAAGTGGGGACCAGGAGGCAGTGATAAGGGACAGTCCATCCTCTCGCCAGAGCCAGGCATGTCCCATTTCTGTCTCCCTCCTTCTGGGAGGGAGTGGTGTTCTTCCTGCTCATTATGACACATGTTGAGGGTGTGAGCAAATAAACTCTATCATGTTAAAGAAAGTCCTCTCCGATCCTAGCTGCTAAGAGTTTTAAGGATAAGTGGGTGTTGAACTTCATCAAAAGCTTTCTCTGCATCAACTGAGATCAGAGGATGTTTCCCCTAATGTATTTCCCTGTGACACAGGAGCCCCCTGCCGAGTCCCCGTGACCTCCACACCTCTCATATGACCAGGCCCCCCGTGGCCCCCCAAAGTGCTCCCTGCAACCTATCCCGGCCCCCAGCGTGCCCCCCACAAACACACCCCTAGCACCCACTCCTGCCCCCAGCCTACCTGAGCATGCAGAGCGGCCAGGAGTGAGTCTAGCTGGACCTCCAGGGTGCGGCTGCCCACACTCACTGCAGCCTCGAGGATCTGGCCCAGGCTCTGCTGAGCAGAGGGCCGTCAGTTCCACCAGAAGCCTTACCCCCACCCTCAGAAGTCAGAGAGGAAGAGAAGGATGAGGAAAGGGAACATGGAATGAGGCCAGTGGTGCAGGTTCTCAGGCTGCTGTCCAGTGCAGGGTGATGGGGAGAAATGTGACCGGTCCCCACCCACCGAGTCTAAGCAGCTCTCAGGGCACTCCTGCTCCCATTGGAGGTGGATGATCTTAACCAGACCCTGGGCTGAACTCTATACCTTGGACACATGGGAGGTCTCAGCATGCTTCTTGTAGAGGGCGAGGACTCCAGGTAGAAGCTTGGGGAGCTGCTCCTCCAGTTTCTCGCTGGGCAGCAAGTGGCTCATGGGCCCCAGAGCCTCTACCACAGCGAGCCGGAGCTGAGGGGACAGTGAAACAAACCACTGTGGCAATGCTCACAGCCCACCAGGGAAAGAGTAGCAAAGAGCTTACTCATAAGAACCTAGGGTTGATGCGAGGAAACCAGGGTATCATGTGACAGGATCCTAATGGGGCCAGGCCACATGCTGTCATCACTCCCTGGACCTCCCCCCAGGCACCATGGGGTGGGGTGGGAGGTGATGTCCATGGCAACTGGGGCTCAGAAACCAGTGCACTCTGCAGGTGGGACTGCACAGGGTGCATCTACTCCCTGACAAGAACCCCACCTCCTGACCGCATGGCACTGGGATAGGGTCACATGTAGACAGACAGTTCCATTGCCTCCCTGAAGAGCAGAAGAGGCCCAGGTGGTGGGAATGGAACTGGGTGGGAAGACTCAGGGTGGGAGAGGGTGACCAGCAAGGTGAGGCGTACCTTGGCTTCGCGGCTCTGCAGCCAGTGGTGAAAGAGTGTGTCGTAGGCACTGCTAATGTCAGAGGCGAAGGTGTCCTTCCTGACCGTGGGGTCTGGGGCTTGGTCCAGGTTGGCCAGGTACTCAAGGGTGCTCTCACTGAAGCGCTGCAGGGCTGCAGCAACCCAGGCGGTGAATGGTGAGTAGCCGCGGGCATCACACCTAATGTGAGTGCTGCCCCTTCCAAACCCCAGGACACCGGCGAAACTGGACTCTGGGACTATGCTGGGTGAGCACTGTCCCCCCAAGTTCATGTCCAAGACCTCAGGATGGGACCTTTCTCGGAAATAGGATCTTTGTTGATATAATTAATTTTAAAATGTGGTCACAGTGGGGTTGGGTGGGCCCTAATCCAGCAGGACTGTGTCCTCATAAGATGAGAACACAGACACAGGGAGAAGACAGTCACCCTTCCTCTCACTGTCCTCCACTCCGCCTGCAGGCTGGAGGACCCATGACCTCCCACAAAGGGGCGCTGGAGACAAAAGGACAAGGAGTGGCCAGGCAGCCTTGAACCTCTGCCCTTTGAAGACCCTGCCTGCCCTGGAGGCCCCGACTTACCACAACAGAACACCATCCTCAGCGTATCGTGCTTGGCCATGCTCAGCATGGGCAGCATGGTGCTCAGGACAGACGTCAGGAAGGGCACCATGCCAAACACTGCAACAGGCAGGGATCACAGAGGTCCTGTGACACTCTTGCCCATCTCCCCTACACCCTGTGCCCACCCACATGTGGCCAGGGCTCTTTTTGCTCAGCCTGAGGCAGGCGGCCAAGCTGCTGAGACACAAGGAACCAAGGTGCCAACAGGGCTCACAGGAACTCCCGGCTTGCACAAGAACATGGGTGGACGGGGGTGGAGGTCAAGCTGCCACCTACCATTGGAGACTGAGAGGTTGGCCAACGTCTGTACCACAAAGCAGTGCGGCAGGACCCCGGGCTGGAACTTGCCAAGCATCTCCTCCATCACCATGCCAACGAACCTCTTTCCCACAGCCACAAGGACATTGCTGGCAGCCTGCTGCCAGTCACAAACCAAGTCCTGCACCCCCCGAGAAAAGGTGATCTGACACCCCAGCCAGGGAAAGGATGCAGGGCCCTCACCCTGTAGTCACCCAAGAGGCCAAAATGCACACTCTGCCCTCAGACCTGCTGTTTTCAGGCTTCCCAGTGAGCACCTATTGGAGACCTCAGGCCTGGCCACCCATCCCCAGGGGCCATTTGCACAAGAAGCACAGTCCTGTGCAGAAGAGCAGAAGAGGCCCAGGCGGTGGGAGGGAACCTGGGTGGGCAGGCTTGGGGTAGGAGAGGGAGACCAGCCACGAAGAGCCTGGCTCTGTCCCTCAAACACCAGGATGTGGGCACTGGTGCTCCTACATTCACCAAGAGAGCTTAGGAATTTTCTTACTGCTTCAGTTTCTACCTCTTAAATGACAGAGTGACCTTCCCTACCCAGGAGGGCAGTCAGTGTGCTGGACCAAGGGCAAACCCTGAGGCAGCCAGACACAAACCCACATCCTAACATCCTGGGGTAGAAAGACTTAGGAAAGAAGTCCCTGAGCCATGGCCAAGTCCGACAGGCCAGGAAGGGGACTTGGTTGGGATCCTGAGTACCTTCGCCTTGGTCATCTCACTGGAGGCCAGGAGGATGACAGCCCTGGCCATGTCCTTGTCCAGCTCGTTGATGTGATTGCTCACAACCATCTCCATGGCCCTCAGGATCATCGTCCGGTATGGATGTGCCAGCTAAGGAGAGAAACCATTGAGGAAGGGCCCGGAAGGTGAGCCGAATGCCCAGGCACCCTGCCAGTGCCTCTCGCATTCTCTACAGGGGTTACTCAAAACATCACCCCTTTCTTCCCCAACACGGGAGCATTCTTCCAGGCCCTCAGAACCTACTTAATGCCTTGCACATAAAAGGGGAAAATGATCTTCAGAGGGCAGAGGTGATCGGAGGACTTCTGCCATCCAGTGTGGCCTGTTCTCAGTAGTGATGAAATCTCTGCTCCACCCAGGGTGTGAATCCTCCCTCAGTCCAGCACCTCCAGGATGTATACACTCCCCACCCATTAGCCACTGAGTAGCCATAGGCTCTCAGGTCAACTGTTATGGTGTCACAGTGCTTGGGTTCAAGTCATTCTTATTTTACTTAATAATGACTGCAAAGCGCAAGAGTAGTGATGCTGACACCAGGTATGCCAAAGAAGAGCCATAAGTGTTTCCACCAAGTGAAAAAATGTGTATATGCAGGAAAAAACATAGTATGCATAGGCTTCAATACCATCTAGGATTTAGGCATCCATTGGGGGTCTTGGAACGTATCCATTGTGGATAAGTGGGACCACTGTACAGCCAACAGGCAGTCCCTAGAGCCTGTCACACCTGGACAAGTTAAAAAAGTCTGTGGGAGGGCAGTGAGGTGAGGCTCTGGCCTCCTCCGGAATCCCCTCTCTGCAGGGTGTGCCCACCTCCCACCCCTTGTCCACCTGTTCCTGTTATTGTAGTTGATGAGAAATGGCGTTCTCTCCCATGGCAGGGTCAGCACAGATGCTGGCAGGGAGAGCCATCCAGTCTCCAGCCAGTGAGTGAAAGGGAATGGCAACACTGGGCTTCGGTTCACCAGCGACAGGACGGTCCAGTACTAAGCACTCAGTCCCCAGACGGTACCAACCCACAGGCCACAAGACAAGGCAAGTCATCTATCCGGTAAACGCACCCTATCTGGGCCTGGAAAGCGCTTGGACTCGCAGGTGCGGCTTTATGTCTAGTGCCTGAAGCGCTCAGCCCCGCCCTGCAGACCCTTCAGACCCCGCCCAGAAGACCACAGCCCAGCCCAGCAGGCTCTATACCCGACCCCCCCTCCCGCTCGCAGCCCACAGCCGGCCTCACGGACCCTCCGCTCCCCAGAAGGGCAAGGAGTGCCCCGGTCTCATACTTTTTCGTGCTGCCGCAAGTGCTCCTCACAAGCACTGAGCGTCTCCTCCGGCTGCGACTCTCCGAGGGCACACAGGGCGCTGCATACCTGCTCCTGCACCAGAGGGTCCTTGTCAGTGACGGCGTCCAGCAGGACTGTGGACAGCTCTGCAGCGACAAAGCCCATGCGTGTGCTCAGGCTGGTCTGAGGACTCTGGCCCAGCGCTGAAGCACACAGCCGGCCTGGGCCCGCCCGCCGCACACACGCACTCACTCTTCACGTAGAGCTGCGTCATCACGGAGGTCTCGGCTTCCTCTAGCGCGGTATGGACGCGGCCAGTGCCTTCTCAAACCTGGAGTAACCAAAGCGCAACACTGAATTCATAGCCTTCTCAGTTATGGGCAGTCACTATGCCTGCGTAAAGCACACGACTTAAACGAACATCCTGGAGGACGATCTCTGCCACACTTGGGCTGCTTGCGCGAGGAAAGGCACCATCCCCTCCACAGGTCCTAGCTGTACCCACCGGGCACCTGTGGTCCCCACAAGGGCCCGTCCCTGAGCAGGCATGGTCACTGCCTCCACCTGCCTTCACTTTGAAGAAGAGAGGTCAGGACGTAGGAGGCCTGGGGTTCTGGGGGTCTGCGCATGGCAGGGAGACCTGAGCTCCAAGAACAGGGCCCTGAGCCCTTCAGAACCAGGATTCCTCACAGGGAGAACTCCAGCACAGAGTAAATGAGGCTCTGGGGGCTGAGAGAGGCTGGACAAATAGCAGAGGGAGCCAGCAGTTCGCTGGCACCTGAAACCACTGGTCCAAACAGTCCACGGGATTGGAGGGTGGCAGCTGTCAAACATCAGGTGCCTCCAAGCACCACTTGAAACAGAGTAACATCCATCGCCCAGTGGGGCGTGGCTCAGCGGTTGAGCATTCACCTAAGATCCAGGAGATCGAGGTTCAATTCCCGGTCAGGGCACATGCCGGGGTTGCGGCCTCCATCCCCAATGATTCTCTCATCATTGGTGTTTCTATCTCTCTCTCTCCCTCTGCTGCCCTCTCTCTGAAATCAATAAAGATATATAAAAAAATTAAAAAAAAGAATAACATCCATCAACCATGCAAAGGCCTCTATCTCCACTTCATGGTCACCCCCTCAGGCCTATGTCACACTCTCTAAGGAGCCAGGCCCTCAGCAGTGGAACCACCTGCTTCCTAATAGGCATGTCCTCTATTCACTGGTGAGCCCACACCCCTTCATTCCCGAAGGACCAAGGTAGTAAAGGAGAGACGCCACCAAGTGGCTGTGCACAGGTGGGAGGAGGCAACGTGGAAACTCTGTGACATGAGGAGGTGGGGACTACAAGTGAGTGAGAGCTCCACTGCATGCCAGTGACAGGTCCCACACACGCACCGTCACGAAGACCTCAGTGAAGGGACAGGAGAGAGGCATGTTTAGAATGTCTACAAGAGCACTAGGAAACAAGAAAGATAAAACTAGAAGACCAGACACTTCTAGGGATCCCAGGCAGACAGGAAGCAGAGAGAAAAAGACTCCAGTTTGAAGAGGGTGGCATCCGCAGGAAAGCAGCTAAATGTAACAAGGAAAACAAGAAATAAAAATATGTACCCCATTTGGGCAGAGGAAGGAGAAAGCAAAACCCCAAACTCCACAAGGGCGGAGGTGAAAAACACGGTGGCTGACAGGTGGGTGTGAGATTCCAGAAAGAACCCACAGAACACACTTTTGAAGGGTGGGCATGCCCTCATGTGGAACCCAAATCCTGAGTTCCCAGACCCAATCTGAGTCTAGGAAGCCGGCAGCCTGTCCCTGGGCAGAGGCTTTGCCCTGTGAAAGCCACAGCAGCCTGTCTCCAGTGTTTTGGCCAAAACAAGGACTGAACCAGCTCCCACTTTACCCAATCAGGAAGGCCTCTGATACAAGTGCAACGGCTGTGCTCACCCAACTCAAACAGGAGCAAGCAAAAATAAATAAGCACAAGAGACATCAGCTCCCAGCCCCATGAGAGTCATGGACCAACATGCCCTCCCAGCCAAACTATTGTAAAACTGGACAAAATAAATGAAACCACAGTTGTCAGGGTAGCAGACATCCGGAGTGAAGGACAGGGAACCCAGAGATCACTCAGCTCACCGCAGGGAGGGCACATTCAGGCTGAGCAGCAATACACCTGAGCAAACAGGGGCTTCGGTCCTACACACACAAAGAACAAAATTCTGTCAACAATCTAAAACAGCAGGAAACAGATCCTCCCCATAGCCCCCAGAAAGGAGCACAGCCCTACTGCCCTAGATCTTAGCCCAGTGAGATCCATGGCAGACTACCAACCTCAAGGACTTTAAGATAAGGGTCTGCTGTTTAAGCCACTGTGTTTGTAGTTATTTGTTACAGCAGCCACAGAAACCTAATACAACACCATGTCTGAGAAGACATCACCCAAGGCCGAGAAAAGAGCCATCCAAGTGGGTGAGCGGAAACATCCCTTTAGCTCCAGAGAGCCAGAGGGAGAAACACCAGAACTCTCGGGGCAGTGGGAATAGTGCGCAAAAGGGAGTTGCCTCAGTAAAGAAGTAAAATGAACTCTGGCCAATGTGACTGAGTTGTTTGGGCATCGTCCCTTACACCAAAAGGTGGCAGGTTTGATTCCCAGTCAGGGCACATACGCAAGTTGTGGGTTCGATTCCCGGTTGGGGCTCAAACAGGAGGCAACCAATTGATGTTTCTATCTCACATAAATCTCTCTCTCTCTCTCTCCCTCTCTCTTTCTCTACCCCACTCCCCTCTAAAGTAAAAAATAAATAAAAAAATAAAAAAATAAAGAAGTAAAATGAGCCCTAGACTAAATGCCATCCTGGTCTCAGCTAACAAAACTAAAAGCAAGGCCTGAAACGATCAAACTGTTCCCAAGTAATTTAGCCACATCCCAGCACCAGGCTCAAGAATAATAATAGGAACACAAAAATATCCAACAAGGTGAAATAACAATGTCTGGCATTCAACAAAAAATGACCAGGCATTCAAAGAAGAAAAATCAACCCATAATGAGCATGAACCAATTGACGCAAACTGGCCAAAAATGAAGAAGAGGAAAGAATTAGTAGACAAGAACATTTAGACAGTTATTATAACTGTATTTAATATATTCAAGAAATGACGGGCACCCTGGCCAGGTAGCTGAGTTGGTTGGAGCATCATCCCAATCAGGGCACATACAAGAATCAACCAATGGGGCATGCTCTCCCAAGAGTATGCCCATGTCTTGTATTTTGCTATTTTTCTCCTAAACTCTAAGGGACTCCACAAGACTTGCAACCACGTGAGCAGTGGGCAGCAGCAACTCGACCCAGGCTAACCCCCTGAACCTGTCTCCAAGGTCACCTTTACTCTGACTTTTCCTGTCCCGTTGTTTCTCCTACGTTAAGCCCTCCCTTTGTTTCACTATCTTCAGCTTTAATAAACACACTCTCAAAAGCAAAAAAAAAGTAAAAGAAAAAAAAGAATTAACCTATGAATGCATAAATAAGTGGAACGATGAACTGATGTTCCTCTCTCTTTCTCTCTCCCCCTCCCTCCCTTCCACTCTCTCTGAAAAGCAATGGAAAAAATATCCTCTGGTGAGGATTAACAAAGAAACTGCAGGCAAGACTGAACATGTTAACATAAAGAAATGAAAGTGGAAGGATGGGAAAGAAAAGTGAGGCTGACAATAGTCATCAGAAAGCTGGAGTGTCTGTGTTAATATCAAACTAAGTAGATTTCAGAAACATACAGTCCTAAACATTTATGCATCTAATAACAGAGCTTCAAAATACAGAAAGCCAAAACTAATGAAAATGCAAGGAGAAAAACACAAATCCAAATTAGAGATTCCAACAACCCTTTCTTGATAAGGAAGAAATACCACCTCTACACAAATTCTTCCAGGAAAATTTAAATTAGGGAATACTTCCCAACTGATTCTATAAGGCTAGTATTAGTCTGACAACAAAACCAGGGAAAGATAATAAAGAAACTATAACTATTAAACTGTAACTATAAAAATTAAAACTATAGCCTGGCCGGGCGTAGCTCAGCGGTTGAGCATCGACCTAGGATCCAGGTGATCGGGGTTCGATTCCCGGTCAGGGCACATGCCCGGGTTGTGGGCTCAATCAATGATTCTCTCATCATTGATGTTTCTATCTCTGTCTCTCCCTCTCCCTTCCTCTCTCTGAAATCAATAAAGATTTTTAAAAAAAAATTAAAACTATAGACCAATACCCCTCATAGATGCAAATGCAAAATTTCTTTTTTTAATTTTTATGTCTTCATTGATTTCAGAGAAAGGAAGGGAGAAGGAGAGAGACAGAAGCATAGATGATGAGAGTCATTGATTGGCTGCCTCCTGCACGCCCTCTGCTGAGGATCGAGCCTGCAACCCGGGCATGTGCCCTGACCCGGAGTTGAACCACCATCTCCTGGATCCTGGGTCAATGCTTAACTGAAAAGTCACACAGGCTAGGCAAAAATTCTTAACAATATTTCATCAAATCATATCCAACAACATGTAAAAAAGGATACTATATCATATCCAAATGGGGTTTATCCCATGAATACCAGGTTGGTTTAGTTTAGTTTGTTTGTTTGATTTGTTTTTTAATGATTTCAGAGAGAAGAGACAGAAACATTGATCAATCTGCTGCCTCCTACACGCCCTCTACTGGAGGTCAAGCCCGGCAACCCAGACATATGCCTTGACCAGGAATCCAACCAGCTACCTCCTAGTGCACGGGATGATGCCTAACCAACTGAGCCACACTGGCTGGGCAGGTTTATATTATTTTTAAATGCAGCCAGTGGAATTCATAATAACAGACCAAAACCCATATACAGACAGCCCCCAACTTACAATGGTTCAACTAACAATTTTTCAACTTTACAAGAGTGCAAAAGCAATATGTATTCGGTAGAAATTGTACTTAGCATTTTTAATTTTGACCTTTTCCCGGGCTAGTGATATGCAGTACAGTCCTCTCTTGTGACGCTGGGCAGGGGCAGCAAGCACAGCTCCTGGGGAGCCACAGGAACATCAAGGGTAAACAACCAACACTCTATAGTGTAGTATTCAATGAAATGTTTTAAAGTATGTTTTTATTGATTTTAGAGAGAGGGAGAGGGAAAAAGAGAAACATGGATCAGCTGCTTCCTGCACACCCCCTACTGGGGATTGAGCCAGCAACCCAGGCATGTGACCTGACTAGGAATACAAACAGGTGACCTCTTGGTGCATAGGATAACAACCAACTGAGCCACACCACCCAGGGTGAATGCATTTTTCAACATACAATGTTTTCAATTTACAACGGATTTATCAGACGTAACCCCATCTGGGTAAGTTGAGAAGCATCTATTATCATTTCAATATATGCAGAAAAGCACCTGTCACAACCAGACATCCACTTATAATAAAAATGGTCAGCAAACAGGAATAGAAGGGAACTTCCTCAGCCTGATAAACTGCACCTAAGGGAACCTAGGGAACATTATCCTTAATGGTGAAAGACTAAATGCTAAAAGCTATCCCTACAAGACAAGGAACAAGGCAAGGATGTGTGCCCTCACCACTTCTATTCAGCATCATATTAGAGGGTCTAGCCAATGCAATAAGGCAAGAGAAAAACAATAAAAGACATTTAAATTGAAAAAGAAGTAACACTGTTTTTAATCACAGGTGATGCTATCATTTATGTGGAAAACCCTACAGAATCTACAATTGAGACTGGAATCAGTAAGTCAGCTAGCAAGATCAAGGATGTAAAAATATGAAATATTTAGGGATAAGTTGATACAAGATATGACAGGATAAACAGGGTATACAATACAATTGTCAAACATTGCTGAGATATTAAAGAAAAAATAAGTGGATATACTGTAGAAACTGGCAGAGTCTAAAATTCATGTGGAAATGCAAAGGACCTAGAATAGCCAAAACAACTCTGAGAAAAAAAATTGGAGGACTGTCCTAGCCAGTTTCGCTCAGTGGCTAGAGCATGAGCCCGCGGACTGAAGGTGTGATTCTGGTCAAGGGCATGTACCTTGGTTGCAGGCTCAATCCCCAGCCCCAGTTGGGGTGCATGCAGGAGGCAACCAATCAATGTGTCTCTCTCACATTGATGTTTCTCTCTCTCCATCTCTCCCCCTCTTCCACTCTCTCTGAAAAGCAATGGAAAAAATATCCTTGGGTGAGGATTAAAAAAAAAAAATTGGAGGACTAACACTGCCTTACTTACACAGCCAATTGATTTTCAACAAAGGTACAAAGGCAATTCAGTGGAGAAGAGACAGGCTTTTCAACAGACAGTCCTGGACAAGTGGATATCCACATACAAGAAAACAAACCTCAGTCTATACCTCACACCATGTACAAAAACTCAAAACCATTCATGACCTAAATAAATGTCAAAGTTAAAACTATAAAACTTGCTTTAAAAAAAGGGAGAGGAAAATAAGATGGTAGCGTAGGTAACAGCAGCACCCGCCGCCTCCCACAACCACATCAAAATTACAACTAAAATACAGAACAACCACCACTCAGAACCTCCTGAAGTCTAGCTGAACAGAAGCCCTACAACCAGGGAACTGAAGAAGCATCCAGACCACTAGGAGGGATGGAGACGCAGGTGGATCCAGGCTGGATCACAGAGATACGGCCTCGGGCTCACAACAGGTGCTGCTGTTTAAACCCGAGAGGGATATCTCGGCGGTACAGGTTTCCCAGAGGCGTGAGGGCTCCCAGCCCCACAGCAGGCCCCCCAACCCAGGGCTCCAGGGCCAGGAAGAGAAATTCCCACAACTTTGGACTGTAAAAACCAGCGGGGATTGTGGCTGAGGGTTGTGGAGAGTGTGGGAGCCCCAGGCTTTCCTCTTAAAGGGCCTGCACACCGACTCACTCAGACGAGCTCCCTTTGAGCTCCAGCGCCGGGCAGCAGCTTGAAAGGAACGTGGTACACTTGGGGAGGAACTAACATGCCTGAAATCCAGACAAGAGGTGGAGGGACAGCTTCCTCCCAGGCAGAAGAGCTGGGGGAGGCTGTTGCTCCTTTGGCGACTCCTCCCAACACACAACCGGCAGGCAGGCGCCATATCTAAATGGCCAGCACCTGAGTCACACCTTTGGCCCCACCCCGGTGATTCCCAGAGGCCCCGCCCCTCCCTACCTGCAAGCTTTCAGGCCATTTCCAGGGCCTTTTCTGTGCAAGTGGTCTTTCGAGCCTTATGCTTAGAACTTTCCTAAAATCTCTCAAACAAGCAGCAGCGGGCCCCATACATTTTGATAAGCGGCCCCAGGCCTGGCACTAGTGGCAGCCTGCACTGGTTCATAGCTTGGCCTCTCCTGGAAACCTCCAAGCCCAGCACAAGTAGCAGCCAACTACAGTTTGCTGTGTAGCTCATGCTGAGTGACCCTAGGCAAGGCAGTGGCAGAGGCTAACTTTGTACTTCCCAGGAGGCCCCAGAGACAGTGCACCTGGTGGTCAGACTCGACCACATTGGATTACAACCCTACCACATCCACAAGTGACACACTCAGGGGCACACTTGGCGAACACCAAAGTTCCAATGAAGTAAATCCTGCTCCACAGGGGTGTTTCCAGCACAGCAGCTCTTTGGCTGTAGTTGCAGCTGGTCCTCACA